CACACACACACACACACATTTTAATTATAATTAGGCTTTTGGTTTAATTTCAGATGTAAGCATGGACCAAGGCATAGATGTTGCAAACACTATGAAGATAACTGCATCTCTTATTGCATTAAAGTGAGTATATAAAATTATCTTCTTTATTAACCAGGGAAATATGTAGAGAAATAACTTACTGATTAAAATATAACTGCAAAGTAAATGGAGAAGTTGACAATAATTGCTATCATTCTTTGCATTTGTCTCAAAGAATAAGAAATTTGTGAGAAACGGGTAACAATTTAGCCTAATATTTACTTACCAGATATTTAATTAAATAATTTTTTAAATTTGCTTATTTAAAAATTAGTGTAAAACTTACGAAGTAGAAGGTGAAACAACAACAACAAAAAAGTCATTAAAATTTGTACTTTGTAACATATCCTCATTAGAGTACACACTAGAACGGGGCCCCTGGACTGTGTTGTATGCTAGCGGATCAGCAGTGCACATACACTGTGCACAGTTGGCTACAGTGGCATTGGGTGTTGGACTTGTAAAGCTGTTATATTTTTTAAGGCATGGAGGTAACTGGAGCATGCCCAGAGTTGCTCTACATTAAGAGAGTTAGCTGTGCCCACTGGCATAAATTCCTCACTCCCTAGTGTATTAGTGTCTTGGCATGCCTATCCCTGCCCACCCCATGCCTGTCATCTCCATCAGCACCAACTCTGGGAAGGAAGGTTTTTCATTTCAGTTAGTTTGGCACAGATGGCACCACCTGCTATAAGTTCTTCAGTGTTGGACCATACTGTAACAATTCTGATGCTTTTAAAGTTTATGTTCTTTCTTACTATGTCTTACAATTTCTTACTTACAATTTCCATGTAGTTCTGAGAAATGTCTTTGAAGAGGACACGTCAAAGTCTGATCTCCATTCAGTTAATAAGAGTTATATAGGACCCCAAAAGACAGCCTCCTGACAGTCACCCTAGAATGGAAGGATTGTATCACATTAGTGCTTCCAAATGGGAACCCCCAAGGCCTGCTGTTGATGGTACTATTTGCCTAAGCCAACACTCTACCCTTGAAGTACCCAAAGATATGACTAGGGGTCAGAGCAGTACAGTTGTGCAATGGTTTCTGATAACACTTCTTCCAAATCTGATTTCCTGACTACTTTTAAAGTGGCAAAAAAAACCCCAAAAAAACCCAAAAACCCATAAAAACATCATTACTGGCAGCCTCAGAGTCTGCCAGTTCTCAGAGAGTTATTATTCCCTCCACTGGACATAATTCTAGTTCAAGGGGGGATTTCAGTAGGGAGACCAAGAGAAGTATTCCAATTAAATCATAGGTATTTGAGAAATTTTAGGACGAGAGGAGGTAGTGTTAAAAAATAATGAGAAAGTTAGTGAGAACTACTAAGTAATGAAAAAAGTCTAGTCCTTCTTTCAAATGTGTACCAGTACGATAAACTTGGTAATTTATGTATAAAATGGAATATTATGTCCATGAATGTAAAATTTGGACACCTTTGGGTGACAAATTTGCACCACAAATATAGTAAAATATTTAGATAGTGCACCTCATTATTCCATGTATTCAGTTACACCATATGTGAAATTATATTTCCAAGTAAGTAATCATGAGTTACATTCCCCTCAGCTTACTATACTCCATTCACACTAACTTTTTGTTGGTTCCTCATACCTGCCATTCTCATGTTTGGCTTTGTGCTTTCTGCCCAAGGTGTCTGAAATGTTTTTCTTGTGCTAGCTCCTTCTCCTTTTTGTCTGTTTATATGTCACATCAGTAGCCTTCCCTTACCACTCAATCTAGTATAAGCTGCCCTGTTAATTTCTCTCCTAGTTGCCTATTTCCTTCATTACACTTACTGTAATCTGTAATTATTTTATGTTTATATGTTTACTTATTTTCTCTTCTTCTAATGAGCATGCGAGCTCCATGAAGGGACGAACTTTGTGTCTTCGTCGCTTGTTTATCCCCTGCATCTAGTGTAATGCTTGGCACATAAGAGGCATCCAGTGACTCTTTCCTGAGTACATGCAAGAGTGAATGGATGGAGGAATGAATGGGCTTCTTGAAAATAGCATGAAAAGATTGAACATGAGTGGCAACCCTTGAATCCTTCCTTATATCTCAGTATTATAAGATTATCAGTAAAAAAGTAAAAGTGTGAACATTTCATGCTTTAAACAAACACTTGACAGTTTCAATTAAGCAAATGCATGGTAATTCATACTAATTGATTGGACAATTTAATTTCCATGTTTTAACCAGGTATTAGGTAGTTTCAGGTAAATTAATGAATGTTTCTTCATAGTGATTCAGTGTTTTTCTAAAAAAGAAGGCTGCTTTCTGAAAGATAAAAACCTGACCTTTGGAACTTACCAGGCAAGCTCTGCTAAGGATGTAGACATTTTCCCACCCCAGTGGGGGTGAGAGAGGACGAGGATAGGAGACCAGTATTACAATGTATTGGTCCAATCATGTATAAAATACTATTGTTTTCTAAACATTTTGTTTTGTGCTAATTGGAATTTTTCAGTCTCTCAGTGTTTAGTGACATCTAAACTTCATTTTCCTAAAGACTGAAATGAAATTGACCAACATCAGTCATCCTCTCTGTCCAATTTGTTCTATAAATAGTTGCAGATAAGATGGAGAAATGTTGGCAGCAAATGTGGATTTGCAGCAGATTTGCTTTTTCAAGTTTTGTTGAGTACGCCTTAAAGCTCCCATTCCCTATAGATGCTTTAGCCCGACACATTTGAATACAGAAATAAAAACCTAGGTATAATTATTTCTTTTCCTGGGAAAGTCTTTTAAACTGATCATTTAAAAAGCTAATACCAAAGGTCTAAACAAATAAAAAAATTATTTTCCTGTGAAACGAATCCCTACTCATACTAATGAGAAAGAGGAGTTTTCTGTTAAAATTTACAAAAGGCTTTGGTTTTGTTAACTTTTTTTTTTTTGGAATTTCAGTGCTTTTGTTTTTAAAATTTAGATGTAGTTTAGGAATTATAAATCCTGATACTTGTTTAAAACTGTCAAGAAATGGAAGTTTGGTGCATAGACAAGCTTGGTCAGTGCTTGTGAAACTTTTTAAGTCTTTGTAAATCAAAGAAAGTATATTCACTGCAAGATTTCACCCTTATTTTTAAGGTAATTGCTTTAAAATTGAGGTTTTAAGGTTTAATTTCAAAAATGGCTGTGATATAAACTTGGGTTAAGTTTTGTTTGAGTTCTGCCTTGATCCTGAGACAGTAAAATTCATATCTATCAGACTTCAAAATTTTATTGTAAATCAAAATTTCCTCCCAATTTTCTCTAGGGTTTCATCAGAATGTTTAGCGTGGGATACTTGATCCAGTGCTGCCTCCGAATCCCCTCTGCATTTAGGCATCTGTTTACACAGCCATCCCGGCTGCTTTCCCTCTTCTACAATAAAGAAAACTTCCAGCTCGGAGCTTTTCTGGGCTCTTTTGTTAGTATATACAAGGTAAGGCTTTCAGAAGAGGAAAGAAAAATGGGAAACAAATGACATAGCTGTTGTTAGAATGAGATATGGCCTTAACTTATTTATAATCTTTTTAAATGCTTCTTTCTGTAGTAGTCATAAATATCTTAACATCACCAAATATACACAGTACTTGGGAACTGAGGTTGTGGAAATTTCTTCTTTTAAAATGTTATTTAATATGCTTGAAAGTGCTGACATGCTTGCATTTATACATATTAAAATTTTTCAGACTCGTTTTCTTTTTCTTCAATAAGGTTAGTCATTGAGAAAATACGAACTTTCAGACATTTCTAACATCAAAAGTGATATTAATATACCTGATCTATTTGTTTTTATGAAGTGTATTTACTGCCTGGTTTTAATTTAAACATATTTCAGACCCTTCTAGCTGATGTCAACACTTGATAGAATCAGTAAGGATTTTCGGTTGTAACTTATATAAGCAATGACTAATTTTCCCTCTTCCACTCACTCACTATTCCTACTACACTGTCTCAGATAACCAGAGTGAACCTTCTTCTACCCCTTTCTGTATGTTCTTATAAACGTACTCCTATGTGTAAAAGCACACGCCTAAACACACATGTAGGGATCATTCACAGTACAGTACTCTGCAACTTTAAATAATGGCCTTTTGTTGAATGAGAATCACTAATATGTAAATCATATTACTAATATCTAAAATTTAGATTCTTAATCTAAATATGGATTCTAAGTGGTAAAATGGGTTAACTAAGGTTGACCTGTGCATGCGTGCGCACGTGCGCACACACACAGTTGTTAAGCACAAAATGAATGCTGGGAAACTTGAACTCTGGCATTATTTTGGGTAAGATGGATATGTATCATTTTATAAACAAGTGTACTCATAAAAGGTAGGTATAGAGAAGACATTTTGAAATGGAAAGGTGAACAGGAGTGACAAACTACAGGTAAACTGTAGTTAATCACTTATGGAATATTTCTAATATTGAAAACAGTTTCAATATAGTTTGACCAGGAAGCATTACTAGTATCTTTGAATATACAAGAGTTAATAGGATAGAATATTGGTAATTATATATTTATATTCACATCCTTTTTCATTTCTCTTGTCATAGTGTTTGTATTTATTCTTAACATAAACTCTTAAATCTCTTAAATGTTTACGTGTAGATTATCTCCAACATTTTTAACCCAGATTGGTTATTCTCCACCATCCAGCATATCTCAAAGCATATATTTTGGTTTTTTGTTTGTTTGTTTTTATTTCTGTTTCTATGTATTTACTTAGGTTATACAGACGAATGGTATACAGACTAATGGTACAGACTAAGGAAAATACAACCAGGTCCGAAAATATCTTATAGGAAAATTTATACACTGTGTTCCAAAGCCATATATAATTAAAAAAAAATTATTAATGACATTAGCATCTTCATGAGATTGTAATTAAGAGAAGGACAGACAAACAAACCTTATTTCTTCTGTGTCTTCTTGGTAAACTGATCCTTTTTTTATTTTGTAATGTTCCTCTTTATCCCTGGTAATAGTCTTTGTTCTGAATATGTCTAGTAGTAATATAGCTACTTCAGCTTCCTTTTGATTATATTTGATAGTATATTGTTTCCATCCTTTTGCTTTAATTTTTCTGTGTCTTCAGTGTAAAAAGGTTGGTTTCTTTTAGACCACATATAGTTGGCTCTTACTTTTTTATTCAGTTTGATAATCTCTGTCTTTTAATTGGTATGCTTAGATACTATTTATATTTGATGTACTTATTGATATGGTTGAGTTTGAATTTACCTTCTTGTTAGTTGTTTTGTATTTGTTCCATTTTTTTGTTCCTTTTTTTTCTTTTTCTGCCTCTTTCTGGATTTTTAAAAGTATATTTTTAATTATTTTTATTTGTATTAATTTTTTGGTATTTTTTTGTATTCAAGTTAAGTATTGGCTTATCATTTATACCTTTTTTAAATTTAGCGATTGCCTTAACATTTTATAATAAACATTTTTAATTTATCAATGTTTTCAAGTAATATATCACTTATAGTGTAAGACTATTACAACACGATACTTCTGATTTCTCCTTTCCATTCTTTGTGCTATACATTTACCTTTTAATATGTTATAAATCTCACAATATGTTGTGAAGTCGGAAAACTTTTCCTATAAAGAGCCAAGTGGTAAATATTTTAAGCTTGTGGACTATATGGTCTCTGTCACAGCTACTCCTCTGCTGCTGTAGTGTGAAAGCAGTCGTAGACAATACATAATAAATGAGCATGGCTGTGTTCCAATACAATTTTACCATACTGCAATTAAAATTTTATATAATTTTCATGTCACAAAATACTATTATTATTTATTTTTATCCATTTAGAAGTGAGAAAAACATTGTTAGCTCACGAACCATATAAAAACAGGTGGCAGGCCAGATTGGGCTAGTGGGCCATAGTTGTAGGACCGCGGCTTTAGACAGTTAATTCATTTTTACAGCAGAAAAAGCATGTCTTCTAAATTTACCTTCATTTTACCATTTCCAGAGCTCTTCATTTCTTTTTAGAGATCTAAAGTTTTATCCGGTACCCCTTCTGCCTACAGAATCACCTTTAACGTTCTGGTAGTGAAGGCCTCAGGGGATGAATTTTCTCAGTTTTTGTCTGAGAAAGTCTTTATTTCACCTTCATATTAAAAAATATTATCTCTGGGAATAGAACTCCGGCTTGACAGATTTGTAGTTTATCCAGCTTTTTCTCCTTGTTAGAGTGGGAGTGATACTTTTTCCAGCATTCTACATGTACACAAAACTAGAATCCATGGATTCATTTTGAAAAATCATTACCATAAAAATATTATGGATAATTCTTGATAGTGTCTCTCCAAAACAGTAACTTTATTATAGGTTATTGTTTATAATTTTCCCGATCATGTATTCAGTTAGATTAATTTGCCTCCATGTTCAGCTAGTGACTCACTCATTACAGACATTACAGGCATTTTTTTCCTATGAAACAACTGAAGTCATTGTATTTTCTTCTTGATACAGGGGACTAGTTGCTTCCTGCGCTGGGTCAGAAACCTGGATGATGAACTGCATGCTATTATAGCTGGTAAGCAATGATTAAAAAACGAATTATTATTATTGCATCAATCAGTGGTAGGAATGAATCAGAAATAGTTTCGAAATTCATCTGATTTCTGTGTATCTTCCTTTCTCTGTAATAGAATCCCTACGGAGGCAGTAATCCAAACATTTTGTATTTGTGAAGTTTAACATGTCAAGGCACTCTTGCCATCTGGTGTTTTGAGTTGGCAATATAATGGCTTGGGTATCTGCCCTGCTACAGGCCAGAAATCCTAGGGAATGTAGCACAAAGGAACGTGAAGTCTTAAAATATTACCTAAGCAACTATATAATATTATAAGTGCAATTATATTAGATTTCTTAAAATATTCTGTTTTTGCCACTGGCAAGTGACATGTATTTTAATATACTATATTTTTTATTTTTTAGGAACTTAAATAATTTTATAAAAACAAAAACTAAAGAACATTTTCTACAAGTGCAATATATGTACTACTTAAGTTAAATAGACAATTTTTCAGTTATTAGTACTTTTCCTAATATTTGTATTCCAGGCCTCCTCCAACCTTGGTTTTCCATTTATAGAATGAAGCAGTACTGTGTGAAGAAGTGTAATGATGATAGCACTAAAAATAATTTGAGCTGTTGGAATAGATGAATAAATATTTCCACTTAAAGTTAGAAATGATACCAATAACCTTGAAAAAATTATTTTTGAAAATCATTATGTTTGGCAAGACCACTTTGTTTTTAAAGTTAAACTTAGAATGTAAAGTTTCTTATAATATGTATATCAGAACTGTGTGTTCTTAACCCTGACGGTCAGTTGTTTAAAAACATATGATGAGAACTCAGCCCATTTTAATGTCATCAAGTATATAACTGGCCTTGAATTTGATGTAGCAAAAGGCAATGCTGCAAATCAGTTCTTTCCTATTTAAGTGAATTAACTATTCCAAATGACTTAATAACAAGGACATACTTCAAGAGCTGATAAATTTTGCTTTATTTGTTTCAGGATTTTTGGCAGGAGTATCAATGATGTTTTATAAAAGCACAACAATTTCCATGTATTTAGCTTCCAAATTGGTGGAGGTAAGCAAATGTTTTTATTCCTGTACAGTTCTAAAGGAGTAGAGTTTTTAAAGTTGCTTTAGCAAAGAATATATATCCTAATTTTGAAAGCAGTTCTAATCCTATACAAGTATTCATGAAGTCAGTTCCCCTATCTTGTCTTCTTTCTTTGTGTTATTTTCAAATATACACAAATCTAGAAAGAGTAATGTAATTAACCCTCATGCACCCAATAATATAGTTTCAACTGTTAGCAATACTTGGCCAATCTCATTTCATCTATACTGCCCCAACCTCCCAAGTACTGAATTGTTTTAAAGCAAATCCCAGATTATAGCTATCATATAATTTCATCCATAAACAACTCAGGATAAAGACTCCTTAAAGGATAAGACTAAAGGATAAAGCCTCATTAAAAACAAACAAATCAACACCACCACCAAAATATAATCACGATACCATTATCATACATTAAGAAAAACTTAGTAGCTGTTTAATATTCCCATATATCCAATTAGAGCTTACTCATACATTTTCACTGCTTGTCTCACAAATGTCTTTTTGCAATGCCTTTGTTTTAACCAGGATCCAAAGTATTTTTTGGTTTATAATAGTTACCCCACCCCTTCGGTTTTTTTGCTCTTTCTTTTTTCCCCCTGCAATTTATTTGTTGAAAATCTAGGTCATTAGTTCTATGGAATTTTTCACATTCAGGGTTTTGCAGATTGCATCCTCACTATGGTGTTAACATGTTTCTTTAACTCATTGTTTCCTGTAAATTTAATTAGACCTAGAGCTTAAGCAAATTCAGGTTCAGCTTGGGGGGTGGGTGTTGCAGAAATACTTCATAGTTACTGTATGTGAATTCCTACTGCATCACATTAGGAAGCATAGAAATGTCTGGTTTTCTCTCTTTTTTTGTGATGCTAAGATTGATCAGTGCACTCGGTCTTGATAGAGCCAACATAAGGTTCCCCATTAGTATTTTACCTAATTGTTTTAGCAGCCATTAGTGATCATTGCCAGGAATTATTTCATTGAGAGTTGCAAAATGCTCATAGTCTAATATTACTGTTTCTTCTGCATTTATTAGTGGGAATTCTTCTAAAAAGAACTTTCCCTTTTCAACTCTTGGGTTACTCTGAAATAATTTATATACAAAGTCATAATAATATGCTTAATTACTTCCTTTTATTTACCAGCATTCAGAATGAGCCAGTCACTAGCATCCTGCAAAGCTGACATGAGTCTTTATTTTCAATTGTCATATGAAGTCATGAATTTTAACATATTTGATTTGTTTCAACCCATTGCATTCTTAAGCTCAAATTGCGCCATCTTTGTCCATGAGGGCCTCTTCAAGTTGACTCCTGTTTCTTTTTTACATAATGCCAGTACCTTTGATAGCTTACTTGTTTTGTGATGAAACAAGATATTCTAGGCTCATTTGGGATATTTCATGCCCCAGATAGAGAATCAATATTTTCTCCAATATCCCCTAGTTTCTTTTGGTGGGAAATGGTGTTTCAAGACTTCAGTGTGGGTGCTGGAGGTTTTTTGCTCCCAGTCTAGTCACTGTTTCTGGGCCTATCCAGTGAGCAGAACTAGAAAATCCTAACACACACCGCCCCCACCCCAACTCCAACCACCACCACCACCTTTATTTTTAGAGAAAGCGAAAATAATTAAGAACATATTGATATTACCAAGTCAAAGTTAAGATTATAGATTTTATTTAACTTGCTTGATTTTTTAAAATAGTATCTCACTGAAAATCTGTGTCCCTAATGACATTGGAGAATTAAGTATTTGCTTTATACAAGTGTGTGTGTGTGTGTGTGTGTGTGTGTGTGTGAGAGAGAGAGATAGAGAGAGAGATGGGGGGGGTTCCCCTCTTAGTACAATTGGAAGCCATTGGAGAGTTATAAGCATGGAAATAACATGATTTAATTCAGTTTTTAAGAGCATTCTGCCTATTATATGGAGAACAGACTAGAGGCAAGACTGGAAGCTGGGAGCAGTCTCAGGCAGAAGACAGTGGTTAGTGTCAGGACAGTAGCAGTCGAAATGGAGAGAAGTACACAGATTTTAGTGTATGTTTAGGAAGTAAAGTTGACAAAACTTGCTAATAGGAAAAGGAGAGTGAGACAAAGAAAATAACCCCTACGTAGCAAAAATATGTTCTTTCACACTGGGGGAATCCAATATTGAGATCTAGTTTGTAAAAGGTTTGTTTTACAGTTGCTTCCCTACATAGTTAGAGTTTTATAAGGCAATCAATGGTATTGCTCTGTTTCTTACATCAACAAGCCATATCTGATCTTGGCCAAAGAAACTGGTATATAAAGTATGCTTATGAGAACATTTTTAAATACAGGAAATTAGAAATTTAAGCTTACCATGTCCTTTGTAGAATTAATTACTATGGTGTAATAATAGGCAATCATTTTCCTATCATTGAAGTTAATTTTATATTAAAATGTTGTATTACTATATAATGAATACTAATTGAAAGTCAGCTGTATAGGCAACTTTTTTCTTGGAAAATTTATTTTATGTTCTTTATTTTATGAGCTACTCATGTCTTCTCGAACCTCCCACCATCCTATTATAACACCTTTCTCGTTTGGCCTTCTTTCCACTTTCTTTAAACTAGTTTTTAGTATTCCAGGGTTCCGGAAACCCAGTTTCCATGGATCATCCCATGTTCTATCCACGTAAATTAACTGGCTGCTCCCCCTATGTATTGTGTACTTGCACTCTGCATATTACCCCTGCTTTTTCTCGCTTATCTAGTTGTTAATCCTATGCCTCTTATAAGGCAACGCTATTAAAAGTGCGGTCAGCAGAATGAATGCTAGTCTATGAACTGTTACCAGTTGATGGCAAGATAAGTAGAGAAATTGAGAGTAAGCATTTGGAAACTTTTATTATATCTTGACAGAGTAATTTATAGTTTGAATATAATAGTGAATATTCAGTTCAATTTTGTGTTTTTTCTAATTTATTTTTTAGTAATTTTTATTATGAAAGTATCAAGTCATGACAATTGGATTTTTTTTTAAGTGTTTTTTTTACTATAGATTGTTTGGGAAGCATTACTCAAGAGTAGTCATTGCTGAAAGCCGGCCGAGTGGCTCAGTTGGTTAAGAGCTCACTCAAGAGTGCGAGCTCTGAGCAACAGTAGTTCGATTCCCGCCCAGAGCTGAGCTGCCAACAGGTGGCAGGATGGCTCAGTGAAAAAAAAGAGTAGTCATTTCTGAAATCCTCCAGAGTAGTTGCTCCTTCCTCTGGCGAGCCAAAAAAGATTTATTTATTATAAATTTATACACATGCACACACACACACACACACACACACACACACACACACACATTTTAATGAGATATATATATATATATATATATATATATATATATATATATATTCCAGAACCTCATCTGAGTGGTTAGTTATTTCTGTTATGTACTAACCATTTTTATTCATTTTCACATCCCTAGCTCCTAGCATAGTACCCAGCATATAGTTAAATTAACACCATTGAGTGTTGAATGAATGACTCTAACAGGGAATAGAGGACAGGAAATGAGCATTGTGCAAAAAGCGTTGGAAAATAAATGACATAAAAGAGGGAGAAATAAAGTGCTATTGAATTGTACAGAAAACTGTTATTACTGGGATTTGGGTGAGGGGCTAAGGGAAAGGGAAGGGCTGACACTTACTGCTGTTGTGGAAGATGCGACCTATGATTTGAGCTCAGAAACGATTGTTAGGATTTCGAAAGGTAGAAAAAAATAGTTGTAGATAGGGAGCGTACTGTTGAACTATATTGTTAATGCTATTTGAAGTTATTTTCTTTATAAATCTTTCACTATGCTTGTTTTGCAGACTATGTATTTTAAAGGCATTGAAGCAGGAAAAGTTCCCTATTTTCCCCATGCAGACACTATCATCTATTCCATCTCTACAGCAATTTGCTTCCAGGCAGTAAGTTATAGCTGTTTGAAATGAGAAATAGAATTATTTATGTTTCTAATGTACATTAAACCAATGGGGGGGAAATAAAGGCCTTGGAACATTTCTATTTACTACATTTTATGCCTTTTTTTTAGCAAGATAACTTGCAAGTTTCAAATCATTAAACATGTTAACTTAATGGGTCAGTTCATGTTTTATGAACACAACAATTTTTAGGTTTAATAGAGTGCAATTTTTATAGGTAAATTATTGCTGTAGTGCCTTAGCTAGAATGGTCCAATTTAATTATACTTCTTTTAGAAAAAAGATACCATGGGCATAAATAAGAATAATAGCATTTCCCCAGTATTACTCAGGCAACAAGGATAGAGGTAAAATCTAGTTGAATAGAAGCATTGTTCAGTCTCTTTAAATTCTGTCATCATCATTATTGATGTTAATGGTTTTGGGGCTGTTGCAAAGTTTTGGGGATAGCTTTTATTTGCCCTTTTCACAGTAATGCTGCCAGGTTGATACACTTAATAACTAGTTAAGTGCCAGCTGTCTAATGGGTATTCAGTTAATGCTTCCTAATAATAATGACACAGTTAACTCAATTATTGTTTCATAAGCAATATGCCTATTTGAAGGCCTATTTACAAAAAGTCTTGATAGTTATCAGCTTAAAAATAAATATATGTTTTGTTATTATTCTGATCACTGTCATTTTAAAGCTACAATGAGCAATAAAAATAGAGATAAAACTCCTCTATTGCCTAAGACTGCTGATAATATTTGCTATTTGCTAAAAGAAGTCTCAAATTGGATACTCTCATCTTAGGCTGTCATGGAAGTTCAGACCTTACGACCATCTTACTGGAAGTTCCTTTTAAGGCTCACCAAGGGCAAGTAAGTGACTGAGATGTTTTAACTGATCATAGAAAATAAGCAATTTCCATAAAAAAAATTTTGAATCACTTTGTCTCCTTGAGGAAATATTATTTTATTGGTAAAGCAGATATCTAGATAGAAATAAAATAAGACCAACTTAATAACATGGGGTATTCTTTTAATGAACATTATTTTGACTGTTTTTCCCAATATTATTTTAGATATTTTAAGTGTTCTAGATTAAAACTATATTGATTTGTAAGCTGCTAATCAGTTGCTACATAACATGCTTAGGTCTCAGTCCTTAAATCTTTGACCTCTTCTTTCTGATTAAAAATATTAAACAGTCATTAGAAATCATGCCTAAGCAATGAACTGATTTCTATTTGTAAAGATATTCTTTTGCCTGATAGTGTATGCATACTTTCCTTTGCTTTTATTATCATGTCTTTATTGTTGTTGTTGTTGTTAGCCTTTCCTGATCCTAAACTAATTCTTTGGGTGACAGCTAGACCTAATAGAAAGACCAGGAGTTTTGGAGCCTGACAGACCTAGGCTTGACTTCAGTTCTGATAGCTTTAGCTGGGTCACTGGTGGGAAAGTTGTTTGCCCTCACGAGCCTCAGTTTTTTTCTCTCTACCATGAATCAGTCATGTATACTTTGTATGGTTGTGGGAAAATTGAGATTTTTGTTGTAGCACTTAGTAGACCCTCAGTCAATTGTAGCTGCTGTTAATATTACTATCATTTATAGTAATAATAGCAAACAGTTGTATAGTACTTACTATGTCCCAGATATGGCTTTAAGATAGACACACACACACACACACACACACACACACACACACACACACCACCCAAATACATACATAAGTGTTTAATCCTTAAAATCACTCTATGAAATGTGTTCTATTAAAGCCCCAGTTTTACATATAAGGAAACTGCAGTGCACAGAGATGTTATATTGCTCTCCAGACTCACACAGCTAGCAAATAATGAGGCTGGGATATAAGCCAGGCAGTCTGGCTTCATAAGTTTTCTTCTTAGCCATGTCACCATGTATCCTTTATATAATTATTATTTAATTTGTTTCTTTGTCATTTCGTTTTTTGCACATTAATGAGTTTAACTAGTTGATTATTTTAGAAGGGAACTCACTCTGAAAAAAAACTAAAAAGGCTCTTGGAATAATGCTGGCCAATGACTCAAAACTAATTTCACTCTGCTATCTTTTCCTGAAAGGAAATGCTAGTGATTAGGCAGAGATACAGAGGGTCCATCCTGCACATTAGCTAAATACGTGTCTTAAAAATTTCTGTTTCTTAGGTTAGGTGATGGATAAAATGAGGGTGTGTCTTTACTCTTGTCTATTAAAAATTTGAAAATCTATATGCTGTTTGCCTTTTAATCACTAAATTTTTGCATATTTGATGTATTTTGATTGTGCGGCATTAAAATGTCAATTATGAGAGAAATTACATTTAATACCTTTGCTTCATTGGTAAATGTTAGCTCCTTCATTGTTTTTTTAGTTTCTTGTGATTTCATTCATCAGAAAAATTATAATGAATGTATTTTTCTATTTGACACTATTGGAAAGGGTTTGACGTTTCAGGTCTGGGGATTATTATTTCTTTAAAGAAAATATGAGACAGTGAGTCTTGAGGAAGAGTATCAGAGTGACTTTTGCATCTGCCATTGAGTCTTTTGCCATGTCAGCCTTTTCTGTTTTCCATCCCATGAAAAATAAGTCAAATAGAGTGAATCATTGTATCCTATAAACTTCAATTAAATACTTGTTCACTATGTCCTCTGTTTTACAGATTTGCTGTCATGAACCGAAAAGTCCTTGATGTTTTTGGTACTGGTGCATCTAAACACTTTCAGGATTTTATCCCTAGGTTGGATCCAAGATATACAACTGTAACACCAGAGTTGCCCATTGAGTTTTCTTGAAGATGACTGTAATTTATTAATGTTTCTTAATGTTTCATTATTTTATCCTGAAGAGTTAATTATGTTGAACACAAAGAAGGGGGCCCGAGCTTGAACTTCAGTGTTATTTCAATGAGAGATACTCTTTTTTTGTTTGTTTTTCTTACCAATCCGAAATACAGAAGCTTTCTAGGAAGGTGTTGCTTAATAATTAAGCTCCCTCTGTAGCCAGAATCTGATTCTATACTGATTCTATATCACTGTAGTGGTTGACATTATGATATATTATTGATTAAATTATGTCCACAAGCAATATTAAATAATCTATGTAAAAAATAAGAGTATACTTAAAATTACTTTAAAAGATGTTTTAGTTCATTCCAATATAATTCTTGGTTAAAACTAAGAATATTTCTACATTTTAGGATACAAAAAGGATCACGGGTACATGGATTTGGTCTGTATTTTTTTTTAACTTTGGAATTGGTAACCTTAGTAGTGACATGTTATGCATATGAAGTAACTCTTCACAGACATGCTGCTTTAGTAGAGAGCGATGTAATTGTAGAAAGCGGCCATTCTTACTTCAGGGATGCAAAGGCGGGTTTCATACTGTTTGCATAAATGCCGTGGTAGCCATGCTCTTCTTCCACTGACACCATCATCTCTATCATGATCCACTGGACCACGTGGCAGCCCAGTGAACCTGTGCACTAATGGCAGGTTAGGTACAAATGGAAATAGACATATCTGATAAAGTTGAAATGTATGTTTTAATCTTTTACAGAAGCGTTACACTTGAATATTTAAAAGCAAATGAAGTTACTTTTAAACCTCCTGTAGCTTTATGATGTTTGTTTTCATTTGTAAGGACTGGGTTTTTCATAGCTAAGTTTGTATGCCATTACTGATTTAGAAGGGATCAAAATTCTACGGAACAAAAGTAGTTTGGGCAGGTTTGGCAGTTTGTTTCCTCCCAACTGTTTCACCTATACAATGGATGCTTTACAACTAAAAACCATGTAAAAATCTGGTAGTTGTTAAAAAATCCATTACATCACTAAATGGATTCAGGTTCATCTAGGCTCTTTTCAAAAAAAAAATCATTGTGACCATTTTTACTCCTATTAGAAGAAAGTAGTGATGAAATATAGTCACTACTGATTATGAGTTAGTTCAGGACAGCTGTGATGGAAATATGATCACTCTTTAGAATTTTTCAGGGAAAAGTCACACTTTTCTAAGTTAATCAAAGGCTTAAGTGGCTGTGATGTCTACAGTTAATGTTACATGTAGTGATGATGGTATATTTTTTAATAGTTTTATGGCTGAAAAGTTTTTGGCCATTGTAAGTTAATTACGCAGTAGAACTTGTGCTGCAACAAGAATTATAACCCAGACTTTGGAAATGCTTAATCCTCCATCTTCAATTTCATCAAGCCTTGTATACTTATGTTTACATGTAATACTATCCTTGGTTGTTATGGAAATTTCAAACCCAACAAAAAGACGGACTCTGGTACCGTGGTAATAGAGAGAACCACTTTAATTTGGTCAAAATTTTGCATTGTGATTAACTTTTTAGAATTGACTTGTCTATTAGGCAGTATTGTTAAAGGATCATTTTGGTTTCAGACTTCAAAATTGATGAATAAATCACATTTTAAGTTTTTATTCACTGGAATCAAAATGAGAATTTGTACTTTGTTTACTTTTAAAAATGAAGTGTGACAGCAGTGTAGAAAGCACTGCTACCCGCACCTCATTTTCTCTATTTAGAAAATTATGTTTATAGCGTTTTCCTGTCAGGTAAAAAGAAAAAACACTTAATCCATAAGTTATTGTTTTCATTGACATTAAGACTATGATATTGAGAGACAAATTCTACTGAAATTTGATGAGATTGGTAAAATTTTACTGGTTAAAATGTGCATTTCTATGATTTACCTTTATATTTCTTTATTTTACAAACTACAGTCATCAATTTTTTTAAAATATGAAATGTAAAAATAACCATCATGAAGCAGAATACAATGAATGTATATATAAGCTATACAATGAATGTATAGCTTGAATGAATAGATGACTAATTTGCAGTGGTGAATTGAGAAGTCCAATTTGATTTCATTGGGACAGATTGCAAGTGTAGTTGTTTGAGCAAACACAAAGAAACCGTGTTTGTTTGCGTTCTCGAAGACAATCATAATGATTATCTCTCTACCTCTAAGTAATCAGGTATTGATTGACAACTTGGCATCATAAATAAAGTCAAATAGATGTCTCCATTCCAAAACATGTTTTTAGTCCATTTATGCTCTGAAGAAATCCCGCCTATGGTAAGTTTCCACCCGAACTGATTGTATTAAACATTAACATGCCCCCCCTTGGTTCTTCTTACATCTTTACTGGAAAATAGTGCATTGGGGTTATTAGTAGTAGTATGGTTGTTTCATTGCTATTTCCTGTATTAATAAAATCCTAGAGTTAGTACCAACCAAGTAAAGACTGAAGTTGCAAGACAACAAATTGTCTCAAATCAGTTGGATTCTTACCAGTTTTTTATCAGAGCACTTTAGTCCATTTTATTACTCATTCTGAAATAAAACTTTTGATTCAGTTATATTTTTCACAAATTCTATGGTTACTTCTGTAACTTTTTTCTTGATCTATTGTTGTCACTCACTTGATACCTGGTTTATTTTTTGCCTTCATTTGCTGTTTAATCAGTTATTTAATTTAGAATTTTATCTTTTTATTTTTTGTTGTCAGATTTTATAATTTCCTTTTTTCTAGAATGAACATCTTTTGTGATGAAACCTAAATTGGTCAGTTGTCACACAGCATTTTCTTGTTGAGCTTGAGTATTTGTCTCCTGCGGTTTGTGTCTAGGCTAACATTTGATTTAGTTGTTAAAGCTGACAAAATTGCTTCTGTTTGTATTGTCACATCCCTGAGTTTCTGAGCCCTCTGCCAATACATAGTTAGTGGGAATTAATTTCCTTTACTCTCAAGGAGCTCCATCCATTTGCTTGTCACATCCTCCTCAAGGTGGTGGTCAGAAGCCCCCCTGCAGGGCCAGAGGGGATGCACCCCCTGGGAGCAGAGCCCTGCTGCCCTCGAATCTGAGAAGCCACCAAGTCCACAGCATCCTTGAATTCTCTCTGTGGTTTGTTTTTATTTGTATAAGTAGAAAGTAGTTTGACAGAGGAACAAAATCATTTTTACGCAGATGGTGTTTTGCTCCACAAAGACAAGTGTCCCTTTCTGAATTGTGACCCTGCTAAGATATCTGATCAACTTTATCTCCCCAACACCTTGACCTATTGCTACTTATCTCCTCAATATTCACTTTCAGGTAGAGAATTTTTGTAACTGAAAATGAGTGACCAGAAAAAAACATTAGAAAAATGAATAAGAAATGAATATTTTTGTAGGGCTTGGCAGAAACTGCGATGAGTAGAAAGGTTTGCTTGATCATGAACGCCTAGGAGATTGCCCTTACAATTGCATTCACACTGTGCCTTCCTTTTTATAGCCTTTTTCTGTTGGTGAATCCTTCTTGTGGAATTAGCGGAAGGGAGTGTCAGGGCCTGAGGTGACCCTGAGATCAGAGGGGCGCACTTGGATCCTGGGGCTGTGTGGTACTTCCCTCAAGATAGGATATGGGGACCTCAGGGTTGAGGCTGTGTTTCTTTTTCAAGCTGTACCCTCAGGTACCTTTGTAATAGCTCTGTGGTGTGAAAAGGGTAACTCACTACAAAGCATAACATTCTAATTGTGTCAGAAGACCCCAGGCTATAGGCCATAGGATGGGCCCTGCTCTTGTCACACAACATGCCAGCCTCAACATCCCTCCATGGCTGGGAGGTCCAGGCTTCCACAGGTGGACCTGGGCACCTGCATTGGCTGAAGTCACCCAATACTGTTACTTTCCTCTATCCCTTCATTTGGACCAGACAATTTCTGAGGCCTATTTCCTCAATATCTAGTAAACTTTTCTTAGTCATCAGTCAGTCCCTTAAGTAAATTTTCTTTTCAGATTATTTTGGTCACACAAGAGGACCCTGTGGCTATAGAGAGGGATTGGTGCCAGAGGTCTAAAAAGGTTTACAGCATGAGGTAATCCTGTTGCTGGTCATTGTGGGATAAGATACCAAAAGGAATAGGTGAGAAGGGACTATAAACACATTTCAAGTCTAACTTCTTCCCTCCTATTTCTTTCTTTACCTCCCCATCCCTGTGTTTTCCTACCATACCACATCTTTGCTGTTTATTTCTTCAGTGTGAGTTCTCCAGGGAGGGGGCGGGGGAAGCTTATTTTCTTGTTTGCTTCAGGGAAAACTGGAGGTGAAACATAAGCATCTTGGTCAGGTAAGAGCCGGAAGGAAAGTTGTTGAATCTGTAAGACAAAGAGGTAACATCTCTTTTTCTCCTTTCTCCTCAGAAGTGAGCCAAGAGGGATGGATTCATTCAAAGTGGGGATATTTAGAGTCATGTCCCAGGGACATATGGGACAACTGTACACTCTCAAACTTCGCATGGTGAAGGTACACAGTCTGTAAAGGGTGAGGAAAGGGGATTTTTCTCAGCATTATGAAAGTAGGGGCCATGTCTGCAAGTTTTATTAGAACTAGAAACCTGACTGGGGCCAGTGGTCAAACTAGGCATTGACCAACAAAGTCAGCCTCCTCAATATTCACTTTGCCCAGGTACTCAGTGTTTGTGGCGTGAGTGATTGAATGACCTGTGATGCTTAAGAAAAGATGGCAGTCGTTTCCTCATTAAGTTGGAAATGTGTTGAGAGGTTTTATATGAATGAAGTTTTTGACTTCCTCCCTTTGAACTTTAATTTTTTTAATGTAGGTAAAATCTGCAAAACTACAGGAATTCAATGGTATCTAAATCTGAGTCTGCAGTTTTTGAAAGCCTGTCCTTCTCAGGAGTAGCAGTAAGGTTCTCTTTCGACCTATGAGAGGAGAATAAATAAATCTACAAAAGTAGAGTATACTTGAATCAGCTGAGCATCTTTTTTATTATTATTATTATTATTATTATTATTATTATTATTATTACTAGAACTCTTCCTATAACTTGGATTAAAGTTCAAAACTGGGATTGGGGTCATTGTTAATTGCTCAGCTAATGGCCATTATCCTCCTTCCTTGCTGATAGAACACTGATTTTGTTTAAAGCAGCAAGATGCTCACCCCTAGTGTATGGATTTTAATTTTTCTAGGCCTTTCATGTCACTCCTTCCTTGTTGTCCAGATATTTCCCCAACCTTTCCTCTAAAAATGACCGTATGACTTAGTTTGGGCCAATAAGATGTAATGGAAAATCTGGGAAACTCTTGGGAAATGTTTTCTTCCCTGATTAAAGGGAATCTTTTAGCTCCTTCCTTTTTTTTATTTTTTTTTTCCTTGTTCAGAACACTTGTTAATGGCATCTGGATCTGTGGCAACAATCTTGCAAATATGAGGTGAAAAGTACAAAGATGAAAAACCACCATGTTAAAGATGTCAGATCAGAAAAATGGAAAGAACCTGCCTCCCAGATGACATTCTTGAGCCACTGAATTAATGCCAGTAACCACATACCTCAGAGCGGTTTTAGAAAACAAACCTCCATAGCTTAAGGCTCTATTAGTCAAGGATTCTGTTACTTTCAGCTCAAAACATTTCTAATTGACACATTCCATTCCCATATAGATCAGGCCTCAGATTCATTTCCCATTGTGTGCTTCCCTCGATTTGAACGCTCGCTTTTCCTCCCCTCCTCTACTTCTGCATGTATCCTGAACTATCCAGTAATCTCCTCTCTGAAGGGTTTGCTCATCTTTTATCTCTGTCTTCCCGATAGTTCGCTAATACCGCCTACAAAACATATTCTGTTTGATTCTGAGTAGCTGTGTACCCACCTGTGGCTTCTTTAGATTGTGGTATATATTTGAAGGGCAAAGAACACAGCTTATCCCCCATCTCAGTGCCTAAATCAGGGCTTTGTATGGGGTGGGCAGGAGTGGAGTTAGGGTGGGGAGTGGTGGTCTCAACAACTACCTGTTGAATACATGCTAACTTGTTGGCATCTGCAGCCCAACAGCATACCCTGTCCCGCTCTATAAAAGTCTGGAAAATATTATCCTTACAAATGATTTTGTAAATACTCCAGGAAATTGGCCTCTACTACATTTCCAGCAGCAATTGGAGCCAGTTTGGCTTCAGGTCTTGGAGAAATGATTTGTCATCTATTTCATTTGTTTGCTTTTTCCTGACAGAGTTGGAATTCTGGATTGTTCCCCACTTAATAAACTGCCAAATCCAAACCAGAAGTAGACAGAGCAGGACACAAGGCTCTTCTCACTCATTTTCACAGGATAAAAACTCACAGGCAGTTGTCCTAGAATTACACTTTATGTTTTGTTTTTCAATAGCCTGTTATGATTATGATTATGATTATTTTTTTCCTGTAATAGAGAGGATCTTAGATATTTGAGAAGAGAAGGCTTAGGATGATTCTTATCAATACAAGCAAGGCCCTAACAAATAGCTTCTTCTGATGCTTATTTTTTGGAGGGAAAAGAAGGAAACTATAGTGTTTGAGGTGCCTTTGATAAGTAGTAAATTGCTTACATCACATTCAAACCTCACAGACTATGAGGTAGATATTATTAGTTCTGTTGTACCAGTGAGAGAACTGGGAATGAAAGAGGCTGGTAATTTGTCCAAAGCTATACAGGAATTTGAGCTCAGATCTCCAGAAGTTGAAACTTTTTTATTTTTTTCCCTCCCCTCAGACCATAATAAGAAGTAACATCTTCACTCCGTTTTGTTAAAAGTATTCATATAATATTGTATTAAAAATCTTGCCTCCAAAAATGATTTTGACATTTCAGCTCAGCTAGAAGAACAGGAATTGGAATTACCTTCTCACTTGAAAAAAACAAATTCCCAAAATGATAATGTATATAAAGCAACAGTTTCCAGACACTGGATATCAAGCAGTGTAGTGCAATGATCCCTGAGAGAAGGAACAAATGAGTTGAGTCCTGTGATTGCTCCAGGTAATGCCTGGAGAGAGATTCCAGATTGCAGCTCAGAAGGAGCACCAGAGCGGAGCCCGGAGGTCTCCCTGAGTTGAGAAGACAGACCTGGGAGTCCAGGGAGGTCACAGAGAAGTGAGCTGCACAGAAAGAAAGACTTGAGACCTCAAAAGGGTCCCCCTTGAGGCCGGCGCTGAGTACTTCTGTATGCATGAGAGGAAACTATTGAGGCTGGAGAAAGAACCACCTGAAAGGATCAGAGGGAGCAATCACTGAAGTTCACACAAGGCAATTAATAGTTTGTGTTCCTGCTAACCAGAGTAGAAAACTTTGTAATTCAAAGGGCACTGGATGGGAAAGTCTGAAACGTAATGCTTCAGTGGGAGGGCAAAATTAACCCTGGACTAAAGGCTCAAAAATATAATTTAAGTAATTGTCTCCTAGAACAAAGTACAAGACTATAGGGTTATACCTATATTGAGTACACAGGGTAGAATTCAAAATGACATCCAATAAAAAAATGGCCAGATGGTTAAATAGCCAGAAAATACAACCCATAAGACAAAGGGGGTGGGGGGGGGATGGGAGGGGGGACAAACCTAAAAATTAAACAAATAACACGATCATTACTTGTACAAAAGGACATTGCAACTAAATGCAATGTAGTCAAGGTAGTGGTCAAGAAGTAGAGAGGAGATTGAGCATGTTAAGCAGAGGCATAGAAGATATAAAAAGGACAAGAAAGTAATTCGAAAGTTGAAAATTACATCTGAGATTAAAAAAAAAACAAAAACAACAACTGGGTGGTATTAAGAGTGGGTTAGACAGCAAAAGAAGAGATTATAGAACTTGAAGATCTAGCAGTAGAAACTATCCCAAGCTATTCAGAATGAAACATGATTGGAAAAAAAATAAAAACTGTACAGAGCTTCCATAAACTGTGGATCACTTCAGGCAGCCTGATAAACATATAATTGGAGTCCTCAAAGGAGATGGATGGTATGAGTGTAAGGAGGGAAAGGGTGCTGAAAAATATTTTTGTGTTTTCATCATAATTCAGTCATTTGAAGATATAATGGCTGCCATTTTTTCCAATTTGATGATCCAAGAGGCTCAATGAACTCCAAGGACAAGGAACATGAAGAAAATGCCACCAAGGCCCATCTTAATCAAATTGCTTTAAACCAGTGATAAAAATAAAAGAAGATTTTATTTTCTTATAAATAAAATATTATCCTTACATAAGGGGGGAGCACATGTTACTTACAGAGGAGTAATTCAAATAAAAATGACAGGAAACTTCTCATTGAAAACAGTGGAAACCAGAAGACAATGGTGCAACATTTTTAGTAAAAGGAACAAAATAAAATAAAAACTTGTCAATCTTGAATTCCATATTAAATGAAGATCTCTTAAACAAAAGGCAAAATAAATATATATTTTTAAATATCCAAAAGCTGAATGAATATATTACTAGCAGACCTACACTACAAGAACTGTTTTTAAAAGTCAAACAGATATAAAATAATGCTGTGTGGAAATATGGTAAATATGTGGATAAATATGAAAACCTTTTTTTGTTATTTTTAAACTTCTTTAAAAGATAATTGACTGCTGAAAGAAAAAATAGTAACAGTTTATGTTTGAAACACATGTCTAAGTAAAATATAATTACGCAAGAGTTTAGGAAGGGGAAAATGGAGATGTACTATGCTGATATTCTTATACTATATGAAGTATAATATTACTTGAAGAAAAACTGCGAAAAGTCAAAGATGTATAATATAAACCCTAAAGTAATTCCTCTCCCCTCCAAAAAAATGTTATACCTAATAACCAACGACTATATATATATATATATATACACACACACACACACACACACAGACACACACACACACACACAATGGAATCAATTAATATTCAGTTAATGCAAAAGGAAAAAAATGAGGGGAAAGGGGACAAAGATAAAACATAAAGCAAATAGCAAGCTAATAGAGTTAAGGCTAACCATATCAATAATCACATTGTAAATTATCTAAACACCTAAAGGCAGAGATTGTCACATTGCATAAAAGAAGGGTAGACAACTATATGCTGCTCTCTCAAAACACTTTAAATATAAAGACACTAGGTTTAAATTAAAAGTATCGAGAAAGCTATAGTAACAATAAAGAAAGTAGATTATAGTATTTCAGAAGTTGAGAACATTCACAAGATTAAGGATTAAGATGGCTGTTTGTAATGATAAACGTGTAAGATTAACAGGAAATTACAATTCTAAAAATTTATGTGCATAATAACTTCTAAATGCTTGAGGAAAAGACATAGAATGACACAGAAATAACCAACCCACAAATAGAGTTGGATATTTCAACACCTTCAATAATTAATAAAACATGTAGGCAGAAAATCAGCAAGTATTTAGAAGACTTGAAATCCATTATCAGCCATCTTGACTTAACTGACCTTTATAGAGCATTCCACCCAACAACAGCACAATACACATTCTTTTCGTGTGCATTCAGAACATTTCCAATAGAGACCATATTCTGGGCTACAAAGAAGGTCACAGTATATAAAGGGTTCAGATCATGCAAAGTATATTCTCTGGCAAAAGAAAAATTAGAAATCAATAGCAGAGATCTGGAAACTCCCCAAGTATTTGGAAACTAAACAACATGCATCTAATGAAGAAATAAAAATAAATTAAAACTATATTGAATGAAAATGAAAACACAATATATTGAAATTTATTAGATACAGATAAGGCACTACTTAGAGAAAATTTATAACACTAGCTGTCTATATTAAAATAGAAGAAAATTCTCAAATCAATGATTTCAACTTTCACCTTCAATAACCAGGAAAAAAAAATCAAAATAATCACAAGTAGAAAGTAATAAGGATAAGATTAGAAATCAATGAAATCAAAAGCTGTGTCTTTGAGAAAACTCAATAAAATTGCTAAACTTCTAGCCAAATAAATTGGAAAAAATACAAGACTGTCGGTAATAAGAGAGATGGCATCACTACACATTCTTCAGAAATTAAAAGTATAATCACTGACAAACAACTTCATGCCAATAAATTTGACAATTTAGATGAAATGGACAAACTTCTTGATAGATACAAACTCATACAAAAAGAACTATTTAATCTGAATAGTGCTGTGTCTATTAAAGAAATGGAATTTTTAGTTAAAAGCCCTCCCACAAACAAAATTCTAGTACCATCTATGTTCACTGGTGAGTTCCATGAAACATCTACAGAAGAAATACCAATTATATACACACTTTTCATAAAATTAAAGAGGGAAAAATTTCCATTTCATTCTATAAGGCCAGCATTTTCCTGATATCAAAAGCAAGCAAGGAAATTACAAGGGGAAAACACAAATCCCTTCTGAACATAAAGACAGAAATTTTTAAATTTTAGCAAAGTGAATAATACATAAAAAGCTAATGCATCATGACTAAGTGGGATTTATCTTAGGAGTGCAAGGTTGATTTAACAATGGGAAAGCAATATAATTCATCATATTAACCCACTGAAAAAGAAAACCCATATGATCATCTCAATAAAACCAGAAAAAGCATTGAACAAAATCTAACCATTTCTCATAACTCAGCAAACTAGGAATAGGAGGGAATTTCCTCAAACTTGGAATACAAAGAAATTTTATAATGAGCATCTACAAAAATTCCTACAGCTAACATGCTTAATTGTGAATGACAATGCTCTCTCTAATAGCAACAAAGCAAGAAGGCCCTGCTCTCACCACCCACTTCTATTCAACATTGTACTTGAGGCTCTAGCCATTGCGATATGATATGAAAAAGAAAGTCATTCAATTGGAAAATAGTAAGTAATGTTTTTAATGGCAGACAGCATGCTTGTCTATGTAGAAAATCATATGAAATTATAAAAAAAGTTAGAATTGATAAGTGATTTTGGCAAGCCGATTCTAAAATGTATATAGAAATACAAAAAGATATAAAATGGCCAAAACTTTCAAAAAGAACAAAGTTAGGGGACTTATACTACTTGATTTCAAGACTTAACAAAGCTACCATAAGCAAGATACTCTAGTATTGGTATAAAGATAGACAAATAGATCAATCAAACATGATACAGAATCCAGAAATCAACCTAGACATCTTTAGATAATTGATTTTTGGCAAAGACGCCATGATAATTCAATGGGGAAATATCTTCAACAGATGTGCTGAAACAATTGGCTAGCCATGTGTAAAAATCAAAAACCACACACACAAAAACATTTGACCCTTGTTTTTAAAAATTAATTAAAAATGTATCATAGACTTAAGTATGAAACCTAAAACTATAAAACTTCTGGAAGAAAAAATAAGACAAAAGTCTTTGTGACCTTGAGTTAGGCAAAGATTCCTTAAGATACCAAAGGTAAAGTGCATAAATGAAAACTTTGATAAATTGGAGTTCATCAAAATATAAAACTTTGGCTCATTAAAAGATACTTTTTAAGAGAATTAAAAGACAACCCACATACTGGGAAAAAGTATTTGCAAATCACATATACAACAATATATAAAGAAATCTTGAAACTCAGTAGGGAGATCAACGTCTGGTATGACTGCGTAAACAGCTCTCTTGACTTGCTCTCCAGTGAAAATTATTTTTAAACTTTCAACCATTTAAAACCTCTGGAAATAGACCTAAGGACAAATAGTAAATGAAGAAACATTTATTTAAGAAAATCTATGAAAATTCAAGAAGAAAGGTGAATTTTACTTTGAATAAGAGAAGTGAATCTTACTTTCAATAAGAAAGTCTCTATTTGAACTGAGACTGCCCTCACCCTCTCTCTTCCCAGCTCAGCAAAGTGGAGACTTCACTTCAGACTGCTTTCTCCAAGAACATAGGGCCCTTTTTTTCCTAGCTCCCAGCCAGAAGGCTTTGTTCCAGGAATAGCAGGATTTAGCGGTTCTCATCCTGCCCCAACTGTCTGTTGCTGAGGCTAAGTCCCAGACAATTGCAGTTGAGATGTTGGCTCTCCCTTCTACCCCACCCCCACTCTTGGAATGAGGGCTCTGCCTTGGGTGCAGTATGCTGAGAATACTGAGGCCCTGATAGCCTTTTTTCCATCTGCTCTCCCCACCCTCACTGATCACTTAGCTGATAGCATGGAAGTGTCATTCCAAGAGAAGTTTGCCATTGTCCCCACTCCCAGCTTCAGTTGGGGAAAGGTGCAAGGGAACCCTCTAAGTACTGCTGTCATCCTAGGGTCCCTGGACATATCCAAAGCTGCACCTCCCTGAGGAGCATCACCGGAAGCTTAACATTGTGGAGGAGAAATAAACTTCACTGTAAATAACTCAGCCAGTCACTAAACAAACAAACAGGTAAGACCAACACGCCCTGGAGGAGGGGAGGAGTCCATTACTCAGAGTTGCTACAAAATATTATCTAAAATGTCCAGTTTCCAGTAAAAATTTATTAGGCATGCAAAGAAACAGGAAAGTAACCCATACATTGGAAAGAACAAACAGGCAACAAACTGCTTATGATAGTGACCAGGTATCAGACTTAATAGGAAAACATTTCAAAGTAGCCCTTATAAATATGTTCACAGTAAAGGAAAACTTGATTAAAAGGAGGAAAAGAAGATATGATGACAAGGTCGCATCAAATAGAGAATACCAAAGAGAATTGTTTTTTTTAAGGAATCAAATGGAAATTCTGGAGTTGAAAAGCACAATAACTAAAATTAAAATTTCACTGGAGAAACCCAGCAATATACAGTTGATACTTCAACAACGCAGAGGTTTGGGAGACTGACCTGTACGTATAACTACAGTTGGCCCTCTGCACATACAGGTTTTCAACTGTGGAATTTACCCTTGAACAACACTAGTTTGAACTGCGTGGGCCAAAGTGTGGTCAGTTGAAAAAAGTCGGCATATAAGTGGACCCATGCAGTTCAAGCCTGTGTTGCTCAAGGGTTGACTATTTGAACTGGCAGAAGAAAGAATTACTGAACTTCAGGATAGATCAACAGATATTATATAAATCAAAAAACAGAAAGAAAAAAGAATGAAAAATGAACAGAGCCTCAGAGGAAGATGGGGCATCTTTAAGTGCATCGATACATGCCTAGTGGGAATGCTAGAAAGAGAAAAAAGAGTAGAAAAATATTTGAAGAAATAATGGCTGAAAACTCCCCATACTTATTTAAAAAAAAAAAACTATAACTTATACATCTAGGAAGCTCAATGAACTCCAAGTTGGATACACTCAAAGAGATCCCCAGACACATAATACTAAAAATGCTAAAAATCAAAGACAAGGAAAAAACCCTTAAAAGCAGCAAGAGAAAAATGGTGCAGCAGAAAAAATTGGAGGCTAGAAGGCAGTGGGGTTACTCAAAACTCAATATGAGTTAACAATCCGACTTTTAAAGTGGGCAAAAGATTTGGTACATGAATGACAAATAAGCACATGAAAAGATGCTCAAAATCCTTGCACATTAAAACCAGAATGAGATGCCACTACACACTTACTAAAAAGGATTATATAGGTTGACCCTCAAACCAGTGCAGAGGTCAACCTGCTGCACAGTCAAAAATCCTTAGGGTATATTATTTTTACTATTAGGAGGGTTTCACTCAATTGGAGATTTTTTTCAGTATTGTTTTTAATGCTTTTATAGTAAACAGTCTTTTCAGTGTGACAGTAAGAATAGTGGGAAGCCAGAACTGCCAAAGATAAGAAATTAAATTCTCCCATGTCTAAGATAAGACTGAAGAGTCACAGGCCCAGGAGGCCCCAGAACCTTGCACGGCGCTTTCCTCCTGGGCCTGGGGGTGCCAGGGCCACGCACAGGAACATGTGACAGTCTGAGCCTCTAGACATCAGAAATAACTCCTGCTGTCCACCCCCATGCCTTCATACCATCACGAATGTCCCCATTTTCTTTTTCATCTTCCCCAAAAAGGAAGAACAATTGTACCCTTCTTTTTCCTGTAATGCTGCCAGAGTGCTGTCTCTTTATTTCTCTTAGTTCTGCTTTTCCTAACATTTTGATATCTTACCGCCCTAAACTGTGACCAAACAGGAAGAGCCAGAAGCCTCTTCTACTAAAGCTTCAAGCAGGTTGACCACCATGGGAAAGTGGCTGGATGTGGTGCCGGGCCAAAAAGTTTCTCCTGCAGGTAGCCCCTACTTGGGAGGTTCGAAGAAGAAGATCCGCACCTTCTTGAGGAGCTTGTGACCTACAGGCAGATACTGCCTGGCCCCGAAGGTCGCTCGTTGTGACCTGAGCCTTGTACATAGCCCACAGGCTTAAATAAGGCTTAACTAAGGAAATTGGAGGAAGCATTGGAAACAATGGTTCATTCACGCTAAGCACTCAGTACAAATGTCAGCAATTATTATTTTTTCCATAGGCTGGTTCAGCAAACAGTCAATGAACCTGTATATAGAGATTTGTATTTGACAATTGATGCAATACAGTATTAACCTCTTAATGGCAGGAGAATTTTCTAGGAAACCTAGCCTGACTTTCTTCCATGGGGTGGGGAAGGTGGGTGGTTGTAACGCTGATTTTGTGGAGTTTTTGCTTCAGACACAGCTGCTTGTTCAGTTTCCTGATCGCATCCAAAAAGCAGACTCATTTCCTTTCGCTCAAACCTGCCCCCTCTCCTCTCTGTCAGCCTCGAGTGGCCTGACTCTTCTTCTTGTCACCTGGGCTCAATCTTCTATTTCTCCCTCTTCCTTACCCTGACCATCAAGTCCTAGATTCAAATTCTGCAGCACCTTGCATCTGCCTCTTTCTCCCCATCCCCCCCCCCACCTCATTATGTTCCAGAATGTAAGCTCCAGGCCAGAAGGGTGTTGTGTATGAATAGCCCCTGATCCGTCATAAGCCTTTTGGGGTCAGTTGAATGTTGAGTGAATTACCTGGTCACCAGTGCTGCTGTCATTTTCCCTAAAATCTCCCTGCACATATGCCTCTGAAAAAGATCTCCTAAAAATCGACCTAATTATTCCCTTGCTTTAAACCTTTCAGTGGCCTCTCTTAGCTCTCGGGAGAAGCGCACAAACCCAGCACCTCGCTTACAGGGCCCCCTCGACTCGGTCCCAGGTTATCCTTCAAGTTCCGCCCTTCCCTGCGGTACCCCTTCCCACAAAACCCCACAGCCACACTTGCTCGTCCCTGGGCCAGCTGTATGATATTGCTGTTTTGCCTTTGTGAGGCCAATCCCTTGGCTTGGAATGTCCTTTCCTTTGTCACCTGCTGAAATCTTTTTCATCCTTCACAACCTCAGGCCTCGTTTTTAAGCTCCTGATGTTCAGCAAGGTATCACTTCATCTGTGCCTCACGGCTTATAAATTGAAACTCTTGTCGTCCTGTCTTACAGTTGGGCTAACTGTAAATATCTGAGCATATGAGTCCTATGAAGGAAAGGACCATAGCTTGGTGATTTTTAGTCCTTTATGCCTAGAGCAGTGCATGGCAGAAAGTAAGTGCCTGGTATATGGTGGAGATTCTTGTTATTTTTTATGTAGACCTTACATTAATTACATTATTGTAATTAATGTGATTGTGATGACAGAGAGACCAGCCTGACCAAAACCCAGAGAGGGTGGATTACAGGATGGATGGGAAAATGCGCAGTGTTGATACGGTGTTGCCATCATTACAGTCGCTGTGGTAGTGACTGACTTGATCCTTGTCGCACGGGCTGGTCCTCTGGGCGCCTGTCATGCCAGATGTGGCCACCAGGTGGCACCCGTGGTCCATGAGCGCTGGTCACCACGCTAAGTTCGGGCTCCAGCTTCAGCTCCTCTTGGTCATCAGCAAAGCTCCTGCGGAAACCCACGGGGGCCCAGGGGACGTCCAGAGCAAGCCAGGCCAGATGGTCGGCCCTGCCCCACGCTGGTGCTCCGGGTCCTAGGAGATCGAGAGGCTGCAAACCCAACCTCCGGCTCTCCCAGCCCCAAGTTCACGTCTGCCCCCGCTGCGCCTCCATGCAGGTCTGGACCAGAGGCCCGCTCCTCGTGCCTCCTTCCCCATGCCTCCTTCCCCATGCCTTTGCTTGTGTTTATTCTGTTTCCTGGAAACTAGGTGATCCCCCTCTCCCACGTAGCCTGTCTGGCCATTACCAGGGCTGGCAGGAAGTGCTAGGGGAGGTGAAGTCAGCCTGGGCCGCACACAGGGAACTATCAGCTCCCTCCTTCATGGAGTGCCCGCTGCAGTGGTATATACGCACCTAGAGGCCTGGGTCTGAGCAAGTGTGTTCTCCAGGAAGCTTCCCACTGCCCTGCCTCCCTGCACCCAACCCCACCCTCAGACATGCCCACATCTGCCTGTCCCTGTTCTTTATGACCAGCCACTGACTGGCTTTTCCTCTAACAGATGACTTGCAAGAAATGGGTGTCACAGTACATTGTGGGGAGATTTGGGGCAGCCTTATGCAAGACACCCTGAGGTGCTCAGGCAGGTACCCGGGTGCCTCTGGGGCTAGGCCGGGTCACACGTGCCCCCTCGCTTCTGGAGCTGTGTCTCAAATTCATGGCTCCAGCGCAGGCTTCTTGCCTCACGGGCCTCGGCTCTGTGGGCGCCCAGATCTTGTCCCACAACTGCCAGTGGGACTCCAGGCACAGTCGGTCTGGACTGTCCACTTCCCATAGAAAGCTAAGAGTTGTTCTTCTTTGGAAATGAGAGTTCTTATTCTAAGTGTACATGAGATCATGGAAATAGAGGGGTTTAGTCTGTGCTGAAGCACAGAGGGGCAGTGGTAGAACCCTCATATATTCGTGTATTCAGGTATTGTATCAACCACATCAGTGCATGGTGCTGAAAGAGAGGGTGCTTTTGAGGTGTTGATATGGCCTCTATGACAGATGTAAGGTGCTTCATTTCCCCTCCCCCCCCAACACTACACACACACACACACACACACACACACACACACACACACACTTAGAGATGTGTCACACGGGGGGACCCAAGCCAGGTAGGCTTCCTCCTTGGGCCTGGTGTGTGGAGGGGAAGTAGGGCAGAGGGGGCCATTTTGTACCTGGATCACAGTCAGGAAATGACTCCTCTCCCCCAAAAGCTTTAAATACCTTTTCCCCCACCAAAGAAAACTCACAGGGTGAGAATACCTCTGAGAAAGGACCCCAAGACTTAAGAGGGAGAGCTGCGTTGACTCAGGTTGTGGGCCTTGAACCAGGAGGGCCTCACAGTGGAGCCAGCCTCCTGGCAGTTCCAAGCTCATGCGGCTGAGACACTCCTCAAGTGAACCCCAAGAACAAGCACCAGTAGAGGCGTAATTACTTCTGTGACTCCCATCCAAACCCTAGTGCTGAGGACGGGAGAGCAGCCCGAGGAGAGGAAAGACAATCAGCAAAACTTGGGGCCTGCTGAGGCGAGGGGCTGAAGCGGACCCCAGGAACAGGGGGTGCAGGAGTGTGGGGCTCTCCCCAGCCCTCAGGGAGGAGCCGGGAGCTAATACCAGAACCCACTGTTCACTGGGGTGCTTGAGCCAGTGCACCGAAATGCATCTTGGGAAACCACAAAAACGCTAGACACGTAGTTTCTTTCTAAACTCCAAGCAGAACAAAACAATTTTTAAAATTTCAGATGCATCACCCCCTCCAACATCACTCCCTCCACACACCAGTGCCTTCTCATGATGCTGATCTTCCAGGTTTCATAATTTCTGTAGCCTAGCAACTGTCTGGCTCTAGCTCCTGGTGAGCATTGTAGGAGAGTCCCAGCCCGAAGGGGCCTGAAAAGGGGGCATATCTTTTACACCCCTAAAATGAGCACCAGGCCTGTCTTCCTAAACTGCCTCCCAGAGGTCGCGTGGGATGAGATGAGACAACGCTTGAGAAAAAAGCACTTTGCAAAGCGTGGAGTATTGCTATTGGTCATGCACAGAGTTATATCAAGTCAGTTGATTGGCCCAACAGCCTGTCACAAGTTTAATTAATTGCTTAGCATTTATTTGAATTCACGTGTCAATTTGGGCCTCTTCAAACTACTGTTACTTTGCAGAAGTCCAAAGTTGTCACCAATTTTGTTGCAAATTCCCAGAGATGAGGGCAGTTCATGTTCTTACAAACACTTCTGCTTCCATGACATTGATCCAGACAAGAAACTCAGCTCCTCCTCAAGCTAAAAAAAAAAAGAGAGAGAAAGGAAGGAAGGAAGGGAGGGAGGGAGGGAGGAAGGAAGGAAGAAAAATTACAAAGTGTTCATGAGTGTGATAGAGTTTGCTGAAATTTTTGGGGGGGGGGGAGACGGACAGGTTTACACACAGCCATGAAACACTCAAATTGAGCATCAGACACCCTTATTCTTATAGTTTCCTGGCACTAAGCTATCTCTGGGTTCAGGGTCTGGATTGTACCCAGCTTTGGGGGCAATTTCATTGTCTAGACCTGGGCTTACACTAAATTCTCTCCCGTGCTTCCTCTCCTTCCAATCTCCCTTCTTCTGTTTGATACCTCTCCCTCTCCAGAGCAAAGCAAATTCCTCTCTTTTTCTCATAGGACCACTTTAATCAGTGGCTTTGCAGCTGAGTGCTGGTCAGCCTCACCTCTACCCTAAGGTGCTTGTCAAAGGATTGTCCCAAAACAAAAGGAGTTCCCTTCCTAAGAGGAACTCTGGGGCCAGCTGTTGAGATGACGTTTTCACCTCCTGACATTTATCGCAACAGAAGCCAGAAAATATTTTCAATAGCTTGGATGTTGGGGACAGACTTGACCTGGGAAAAAAACGACCTACATATTTTGTTTAAAATGAAATTATGAAGAAAACTCATGAATGCCATGGAGGAAAAGAGAGAAAGCTCTCCCAGAAATCCAAGCAGCCCTTTCCAGTAGCTCAGACCAGAAGGGAAGCAAATGTGTTCCTCAGCTTAACACCTGATCCCCAAGTCCCCCAGGCCTTAGTGGTGTGGGGAAGCCATCTGGGTCCTGAGACCCTGCAAGCTAAGGTTCCTGGAGGGAATGGAGGTCAGGTTTACCTGGACATCTAGAGACACAGGGTGACGGGGAAGCTGGAGTCCGGAGGTGAGGAGTGAGACCTGCTGGGATGGACTCTCCTGGGGCCAGCATCAGGCTGGGTACCGTGGCTCACTCCTCCCACTGTGACACACACTGGGAAAGCATGTGATTCCCAGTCCCCCTGGGCAGGCTGAGGTTTAGGGACCCTCCTCTGCATCCCTGCAGCTGGCTGGTTATCCAGTCGTATACTGTCGCTGTCCGGGTGTCATCACCTGGTTGGTGACTTGCCTCTCCCTCCCTAACTGCACTTCCCTGCCAGCAGGCAGCAGGTCCAAGTTATTGCTCTGTGCCTGGTACTCAGGAGGCAGGCAGTCAATGTGGACAGAAGGGAGGAAGGCATGATTGGCTCCCTGGCGGGGGTCCTGGGTCTGATTTCTGGCTTCTCCACTGACTGACTCAGCTCTCTGGCAAGTTTATAAACCTCTTTAAAATGTCACTTTTCTTAAAATGGAATGGAAAGAGATGCCTTGTCTTGAAGACGTAAGGATCTACTGAAATAGACAAGAAAGTGCTTGGAAAGTTGAGAGGACATGGTGGTTGGGTCAGTGGCTCACAGGCTCGGCCCCATCGCCAGCAATGTCAAGGACAGTGCTTGACAGGGTGTCACATGTGTACTCATGCTTTGCCCCACAGCCCCAAGAGCGCAGCTACACTTTCCTGCTAATTTAACTTGGGAGAAATGGAGACTCAGAAGGCTGAGTCCCCTGTCCTGAGCCACCCAGCTCTCTCCTAACAGAGCTGAGACTGGAGCCAGGCCTTGAAACTGCCGGCTTCCTCCCAGCTGGGCAAGGGCTGGGGAAAGGCGGGCAGCGCCTGGGAGGGCAGGGGCCATGCTGGCGTTAGTAACCAGGATGATGCAGAAGCTGCGGGGGTGTGCATGCTGATTTTAGAAGGCATGTTGGACATGAACTCTAGGGTTCTGGGCTTCTACCAGGGAGAGCCTGAATGTAAAGAAAAGAACGATTGGGATGTAGTCACCGTTTAAGTAAATTGCACCCACTCTCTCATCCTTAATCCCCCTTCCTTTACTCCGCCCCAACCTGCGCCATTTTCCTCCTGTTAGTGCCACGTGTGGGCCCCCAGGCCTCTCACCTTGTTTGTCCCCCACACGCTGCTAGGGCCAGGGGTCCTACATGCAGGAGGGACTGAATTCATGTTTCAGACTAAGCAAATGAAGAATGAATGATAAGTGGGTGACTCGGAAGGACAAATGGGCACTACACTGTTAGTCCCTTATGTAGTATTGCTCCTCCATTTGAGAGCTCCGACATTCACCCAGCTCTCGCGTGGAAAGCCTGGCATTGTGACACCTTCGTGAAGGATTCTTTTTAGGGGATTCTGCCTCTCTGTGCCCCAGTGTCTTCACTTGTAAAATAGGAACACTATTGTTACCTCGTAAGCTTTTTGGAGGCCCAAATAAGTAGTGTCAAATGGGTGATAAAAGGTGCTAGGTCAATTGTAACCTCTCATAATATTATGTATTTTGTTATGGGAAAGGCAGCCGTAGCCTGCTTCACTGTTCTGCTCACCACCTCCCTCCAAACTCTCACCCTCACACACAGGAGGTCCCTGCATGTGCACATATGTGTGTACATGTTTACACTGTGCAAACTTACATGCATGTCTCCAGAGCACACAGATACCGTAACACTCACATGTACACATGTCTTCTTCCTCAGCCCCAACAAGCCTGAAAACACGACCATGTCCTGCTGCCACCTGTGTTCAATGAGTGAAAGGTTTTTGCAGTATTTCCTCTCAGGTCATAATTTCCTGATAAAATATTACTAGACATTTCCAACAGTAATCACTGGCCCGTGGTTTTTCCCATAAAAGCCACCTGGACCTCCTGAGAGAGGGCTGTCATTCTTGCCTCCCCTGCTCATGATGAATGTTTGTGTACCGAGACCCTTGGCCTGGAACAAGGTGACCCTATAATGAGTCCCCAGTAGGGCTTTAGCCCAGGAAGGGTCCTGGTGTGTGGCTGGGAGCCCTTTCTCCCATAACTCTCAGGCAGCCAGTCCTAGTACATGTCCCCCTTCCTGAGGCCCAGTGCTCTTCAGTTCCTCATCCCCACACACCTCAAGCTGAGGAACAGACTCAGTGGGGGATGGGGAGAGACACAGTGATAATGAATTTGATTCTGAAAATGTTGAATTTGAGATAGCCGGCACATCCAGCTAGAGGACAGCTTTGGAGTTAATGGGAGAGATCTCAACTATAGATAGATAAATTTGGGGCTTTTCTGCATATTTATAGTATATTAGGAATTACATTTAATTACTAGAATCAAAAACTGGAAGAAACAGTGGCTTAAACAAAATAAAAGTTTATTGTACTTAACATTAAAGTACTAGTGTATTGGCTGCATGCTATCTTTTAGGGACCAAGGAAACCTATCTTTTTGCTTCATCATTTTAATATGTGGCTTCCATCTTGGAATTGCTTCATTGTCAAATATGGCTGCCAGAGCACCAGCCATCATCTTTGCATTCCAGGCAGGAAGCAGGAGAAAGGGTGAAAGGTTAAAGAAAAGTGCCTGTGTCTGCAACTGTGTACCTTCCTTGATTATCTTATGTGTCAGCCCCCTATTCTGCATTCTGAAAGGATTTCCCTTATTCATTGGCTCTTGGGTTCCCTGAGCCTATTTGTCCCTATTCCACCTTGGTCTAAATTAGAAAAGGACGCCCCTCTAGGTGTTTGCAGCCTTGCTGGTATGTGACTTTGGCAAGCAGATAGTGCCTTTGTGCTAATGAGGAGATGACAGTCCTTGTCCCAGGTGCATGCAGCCCTGTGCCAGAGAGAGTGACTTGGAGAGTGGAGCACAGGCTGGGTGTCAGCCCCTTCACTGGGCATTTTTGTGCAGTGCTCAACGTGCACATCTGTAGATGGTGACCCTGAGGGTCCCTGGCTCCCCTCTCAGGGTGGGTTTGTTCATAGTCCTCCATGGACATATCTGAGGATTGTTTGGAGAGGATGGCCTTCCTGAATTGCACAGCTTCAGCAGCTCCCATGCTGTAGGTGTGGGTTTGCAGATTCCGGGATTATATTAGGGGTTTAACAGTCATGGGTTGTTGCAGGGCCAGTACATGAATGACATGATCCAAGAAGAGTGTGTAATCAAAAGAGAAGAGAGTCTCACATCCCTGAGAAACACTAAGATTTAAGAGGTTGGTGAGAGAATTAGGAATGGCTAAAGAATACTGAGAAGGTAGGAAAAGAAGCCAGGAGAGAGGAAAGAGAGAGAGGTGGCAAGGAAATCAAAAGAAGAGCGATTCAGGGAGCGCCTGGCAACAAGGCGAGAGGGTGGTACAAGTCGTCCGATGAAGCCAGAAATGGCCATGGAATCTGGCTTTTGACCTTCAATTACACTTTGACCCCTCTTATGAAAATTACCTTACTCTACCTGGATAGCCTTGTGTGGAGTGTGTGTGTGTTTCCAGCTTTCCTGAGTTAGTAATCCTTTTCACTTACCTGTGACACTGGCCCTGATGAGAAATCCTTCTGCCTTAGGCTTTCCTCCTTCAGCTTCTGGCGTCAACTCTCTCCTTGTTTTCCTTCCACCTCTGATGGCTCCTTCTCATTCTCATTGTCACAGTGCCCCTGGCTCTTCTCCCCAGGGCTTGGACATCAGCCTGCTGCTCTTGGACCCATGTGCCCCTATTGACAATGACATTCATTCCTAAGGTTTCAGTTCTCGTGGTGATAGTTCCAAATGTATTGATTTCTCCTAACTTGTCTCTTGAGCTAAGACACATTTTGGATACACCCATTTGGATGACCCCGATGTATCTCAGACTCACTCACTGTATTAGGACAAAAACAAAACAAACAAACAGAAAACCCCAGAATTTATGCAACAAAATGAAATTATTGCTTCATATAACTGGAAAGTCCAAGCTATGTAAATTCCAAATTTCAAGCATGCCTGGATCCGGAGCTTCAAGCTGTGTCCTCTGGGTGGTCCTCCTGTCTCTGTTTCTCTTTGTTTCTCTCTGTCTGTGATTACTTCATCTCTGCTTTAGTTGCTGACAAGCTTTCTCCACCTAATGGGAAGATGGCCCTGGCAGCCTCCACTCACATGCTACCAATTATCAACCCTAGAGGAACGATGATTTTAAAAACATAGATATGGAAGAAAATTCTCCAGGAAGATTATCGTTGGTCCACCTTGGGCTGTGTGCTTGCTACTGGCCCATTGACTTTGGTTGAGATCTGATGGCTGGCAAAGCTGAGTCATGGGTGGCATCCTCTGGGCAGGGCTGAGTGGAAGGGATGAGGTTAGGACCCCACAGCCACACTGTGTGTGTTATTCCCCCTTCCCTCTAGCCAAACAGCATCATTTGTTGTTTCTCTATGTCCTTAAAAACTCTGTAACACTGTTCCTTTGAATGTAATATTCCCCATGTTTTAATCCCAATTCTTTTTCTAGCCAATTCCTGCTGATCCATTATACTTGGATTGACTCACCTCCTTTAAGAAGGCTTCCTGCATGCCTCTGTTGGATGACAAGCTTATAGTGATTCTGTGAGACCTTGGGAGTTCCTCTATCATAACAGTTCTGTAATTATTGGTTTTCTTGTCTGTGTTTTTCCTGTTCTGTGAGATACCTCAGAACCAGAACCACCCCTTCAACTGTGTCAAGTGCAGCCCAAATGTATGTTGAATTGAATTGATTCAATGATTGAATTTCAACAAAATAGTAGAACACAGCAGTGAGCAACTACGCTTGCTAATGAAAACCTGTATCTTTGGCTCAAAGATAATGAAGGCCTTCTAAGGCAAATTTCACCATTTTCGGAACCTGTATTATGGTTGTGATGCAGTGTATATTAAAGTCAGAGAGACATAGGTTCAGGTTATGGCTGCACCTCTTACTACCTCTTCAAGCCTGGGCAGGTTACTTAATTATCTAAGCCTCAGGTCTTTATTTGTAAAGAAAATAAGTAATATCTACTTCATAAATTGTGAGGATTAAAATGAGAGAAAGCTCATGTGAGCAGCTCGTGGGGTTATTACACAGAAGCACAACACGCTTCATTTCCCCTTCTGCCTTAGGTACTGACTCTCCCCCTTGGGGCAGTATGGGTTATAGCTCTTGTGTTTGTCCTGTTGTAATTATTCACAGTCACTCTTTTACTCTAAACAGTGTCCTAGTTGAGATGATAAATTATATGGTCACCCTGTTAACAAACTCTGACATGCCATCCAACCTGCTGCCGACAGTGCAGACCTGATTTCTGCTAAAATGGCAACTGGGAGTCATGGTCCCAGGGCGGTTGCATCCTGTACTCAGCAGAGACCTCTGCAGCCATCTTGGCACGTATGTGCACTTGAAGGCTAAGTCCAAATATCACCAACCAGTCAGCGGCATTCAGAGGCTTTGTTTTCCTAAATGAGGCAGAGAGAGTTGCTTTTCGGCTTCAGAAGACAGACTCCATTTTCTTTTCCCTAAACCTCATCTTCCAGAACCTCAGCTGTCTGCCTGGGAGTAAAATTACTGTACTTCCACTCAGTGCTCAATCTTTAGTCTCTTGGTCTTTATTTTTATAACAGCACTTAGTTGAAAACACTGTTTGACTCTAAATGAAACACCCTTCTATGATTGAAATTTTGGCATTTGTTGCTATCCTAGACTGAGTTCCTCAAAGATGGGAACCACGTCTTGCTGCCATTGTGTCTCTATCATCCACCACCAGTTCCTGGCACATAGTAGATGTTTGACATGTGTGTACTGAATGGGTGGATAATGAACATGAATGAGATGGACAAACCTGCCCTTGGCCTTGAGTGAATTTACCAGACTGGGGTGGGCTTTACGCCATACTTACATGGCTCCATGAATGTAGGGCCTAGATTTATCTCAAGTAGTCCCAGGAAATAAGTGGCCTGGGTTTGAGATGTCTCAGTGACTTTGTAAAGAGTCCCTTTGGCTTCTTTCAGGGAGTTAGCCAAAATACCACTGTTAATTGCCCAAATGAGATCTTCCTGTAATCAATATTTATTAGCAATTATTTTTTTAAAAAAGCCCATAACATGAGTTTTCATCTCTTTTGATGGTAAAATGCAGAGGCTTTATAGAAAAAAACAAAACAAAAAAAACCCCAAAAATGAATGAGTGAGGAAAGGATTGAAGGGAACTTTGAATGAAGTAAACAGGAAGGACAGTCATTCATCCCTATGCATATAATTCATATTTCTGTTTGGTTCTTCGATCTTAGGTTGGAGCCCATGATTCAGACTTTGCCAGCATCCTAGAGCTTGTGGAATACCAGGATCCATTCAGCCTTGCATTTCATCACCTATATTAGTCATGATTTGGTCAGAATGGAAGTCACTAGGTATTTCAAGTAGAGGGAGGTGTAATACAGGGAACTGAGATTCCCACGGCCCCTGAAAGGTGGAGATGTCTGTTTTCAGGAAGTCGCGACGTGCAGAGGTCTCAGCAAGGCTGCCCCACTGACCTCAGCTGTAGCTCCAAGGGGAGTAATTCCCAGGAGGCTGCCCCCAGGTGCTGGGAGCTGTGGTTGCTGCCTCAGCGGCTTGCAACACCAAAAAGGGGCCATGGCTCTCAGGGTCTACCTTCACCAAATGCCCCCGTGCCTGCAGACAGCTGCCCCTGGGACATAGGGACTTCTTTTTTTCTCAGTTTTCCAGAACTCTTCAAGGGTCTCTCCTTGGCAGAAATGACCCAGAACCATACTGGAAGGCCATTCTGGAAAAAGCAGTTCCGGACATTTCCCCAGAGTAAATGGATACAGATGTTGTAGAGCTGATTACAAGACAGTCCTGACTATATATATCTAGTCACATTCATTCATTCATTCATTCATTCATTCATTCAATCTATCAATAGTTAATGAGACTTGCTACACTCTAGAGTCTATTTGTACAAGTCTTTTTTCTCTAAGACCGAGCACTATCTTCCATAGTATGTGGTACAATTTTGGGTACTCGGGTAGATGTGCACTGATTGCCTAAAACTGACCTTAAACATGGCTAGCCTACTATTTCCAATGGAGGAGGCTGAAGTGAGAAACATCGTTTACATACACCTGTATGGATAAATAGATATTTCTGTCTACGTGTTGTTATGCCTCACTATTCTAAAGGTATAATGGGCTCATTAAAGACAACTTAAAGGAAAATTAAAATTTTTTAAATTTGATTTTGTTCATTATTCATCACCATTTTTAGTTTGTTTGCCTTTTCAGTTATTTTTCTGGGTTTTTTTCTTTTAGATAATATTAATATTATTACTTTATATATTTTCCTTAATATTATATTATAGGCATTTGAATGTTATTATATTTGTAAACGTTTTAATAGCTGAGGGATAGTCCATTGAGTGGGCTTATTATTGTCTAATCATTCTCCTCTTGTAGGAAGTTGAGATCGTTTCCAATATCACGTATTATTTAAGCCTTTGTTTTCCTTGGAAGTTGGTTGGTAGGTTGGGTCGTGGCTGAGTGTGGGTTTGCAGCCTCTCTCCCAGCTCTTGATATGACCAAGAGGGCTGGAGGGTGTTGTCGGCTCAGGGCTATAAGTGCACAGTGTTAGTAGAACCCCTCGTTCATTGGCCAGAATGGACATCTTTGCCCCCCTGGGACCCTGGCTTTAGTGCAGAGGAAGGAATCCTCTCCTGGACAGCAAAGAGGAAAGCTGGCTTCCAGTCTGGCTCTGGAAGTTCTCTGCTGTGTGACACTGGGCCCGTGTCCTCACCTCTCTGACCCCATTTTCTCTCATTGGAGAGTATAGCCTGTCAGTCTATGGACCCCTCTAGCTCTGCTGCTCTTTGCATATATTTCGTCTGTAACCTGCCTTGGTATGAAAACTGTCATGCTGCTCTGCTCCCATTCTGATTGTCAGGCTGGCTTTTCCTCTTGGGGATGTTTTGCAGCTCTCAGCTCAGGGGCTGAGGTCTCTTCCCAGCTCCCTGCATTTGCCCAGGCTGTTTCTTTCCTCTACATCCATTGCCTTTCTTCCCAACTCAGAGGTGATGTTTGTGCCGTGCGCAGCTCAGGGGACCCATTTTGCTTTCCCTTCTTCTACTCAGTACAAACTACGGCTTAGATGTTTGCTCCTTGAAGAAGTCTCTTCTGTGTCGGGGCTGCTGCCACTCAGTGTCCTGGCCCTATGGCAGCCCTTATCACAACAAATCGACAAATCTTGTGGCTGGCTGCACTTGCCCAGTTGACTGTGAGTTCCTCGAGGCACACACCTAGCCTCCCTCATCTGCAGCACGGTGCCTGGGGGTACCTGGGGTGTTCGTGACTGTGGTGAATAAGCAAATAAAAGTGCTCCACTCCAGCGAGCTTGCTTTGCACGGACAAGTCCAGAGCTGGCAGAGTTCAGACCCAAGCCTGAAAAACAGGAAAGCGACTTGTGGAGGTTTCCTTTGTTTTCCTCGTGGAGCAGGATGCACATTTCAGTGCCTAGAATCCCAAGCTGTAGGGTTTTACCTTATCAGCGATATCCATTTCAAGCGTCTCTTTAAATGCTAACCCCAGCCTCTCCCCAGGGATGGCTGGCAGATTCAGCGTCACTCTGAATAATTTTCATTCTTTTTGTGCAGAGAGCAGGGATGGAGTGACTGTCATCTGGATGCCTCTGGAGCCCCCTGGTCTGCACTCCAGGTTGTCTCATTGCAGCTTGCTCCGCTGCCCATCTTAGCAGCTCACCCTCTTGCTTTGAGAAAAGGCTACTCCTGGTGTGCTCCCTTGAGGAAATGGAGGTAGAAATAAAAGTGAGTAGCATTGACTCATTTAATCTCCATGACCACCTTTCCTATAATAGATGAGGAAGCTGGTACCCCGAGAACTTGACTAACTTGCCCAAGTCACAAAGGTTAAGTATCAGAGATGGGATTCAAACACGAACTGGGGGGGGGGGGGCAGGCCGAATGGTTCAATTGATTAAGAGATCACTCAAGAGTGTGAGCTCTGAGCAACAAGGCTGCTGGTTTGATTCCTGGTCCGAGCTGAGCTGCCGCTGAGCTGCCAATAGGTGGCAGGATGGCTCAGCTAAAAAACAAAAAAAAACCCAAAAAAACCTGTGAACTTGGGTCCAAATTCCACAGTACTGCCCAGAGAAGAAAACCAACACTGCCCTTTATTGAAGGCTTCTTGGGAGCATGTTCTGTGCTGAACAATGCTATACACATATTACCTTGTATGAACCCTTACAAAACCCCATGCGCAAGGCAGCTTGTGGTGGCCCCATTTGGCAATAGGATGAAGACACCAGAGCAGTTGGTGCAGGGTCACAGGGCTACTAAATGGCTTCACCTCAAGTCTGCCTTGGACCCTGTCTCTCTCTGCCTGTGCTTCTTCCTCCTCTGCCTGCCGTGTTTACTCAAAGGTGAGAGCTGCTTTCAGCTCACCGCCATGTAGTGGAGTTCGGTATTTGTCCCAGGAGAGCTATAGGGAACAGCCTGGAGCCAGTCACCCAGGCCCTGCCAGGGGGTGCCTGTGGACCCTGAATCTTGCACTCCAGAAATCTCCGTCAGTGAGCCACA